AGCAGGCAACATATGCCTTCTCTTAAAACATGGATAATCCCAAAGCACATAGGATAGAAGTTTCCTTGAATTATTCTGAAATCTGTTTCACAACCCCCATACCATTAGTAAGATGTACTTTGTCTCCATTGGTCATTTTGAAATATAGGCAGCCAAATTTAAACTGTAGCAAAGTTCATTTTTCAGTAAAAACAGCCTCGAACTTTCTGGGAAATATCAATTTCAATATATTTCATAGAATCATAGAATATCAGGGTTGGAAGGGACCTCAGCAGGTCATCTAGTCCAACCCCCTGCTCAAAGCAGGACCAATCCCCAACTACAATCTGAACAGCGTCAGGCAAAAAAACCAAACAAAAATGAGTTTCTGCTTTTCAGATTAGGTGCATAATTTTGTCAAATGCCCACTAATAGGATTTACAGCATATTTCATTTTACCTTAATTGGTTTGTTGAGCAGAAAACTAAACATTTTCACTTTTTACTAACTTCCCTTCCCAGAAATAACCAACTCAGCAGCTAACAGCTTTTGCAAGTTTGAATACATTGAACTTTGCCAAATAATCTGTCAAACTAAACAAAGAAATATGCACATACCACTTGCAGAGCAGGCTTGGAGAGAGAGATCAAGAGATCGCTTTTCTTAGTCCAACTTCAACCAAGTCCCTTATATATCCATATGCAACACAAATTGCAACATGTAAATTAACCAGGCGGCTTTCCAAAACTGCTATTGGCTATTTGTCATCAAGGAATATAATTATAGGATATCACAAATTGACCTGAAAAGATATTTTGTACGAACAGTCATCTGTTTTTCCAGCACAAAATGACGTATGTTAGATACAAAAGAAATACATTATGCAATACCAAGGGTGAGATTTAATCTTGCAAAACTCAGAATTGAAATCTTTGTTCACATAGTAATTCAACTCCCTTGTTACATTTTGAATATAGGCTGTCAATCTTGTATATCAGGGTGGCCAACCTGTGGCTCCGGAGTCACATGCGGCTCTTCAGAAGTTAATATGCGGCTCCTTGTGTAGGCACCGACTCCGGGGCTGCAGCTACAGGCGCCAACTTTCCAATGTGCCGGGGGGGTGCTCACTGCTCAACCCCTGCCCCTGCCCCAGGCCCTGCCCCGACTCCACTCCCTTTCTGCCCCCTCCCCGAGCCTACCATGCCCTTGCTCCTCCCTCCCCCCCAGATCCTCCTGCACGCCACGAAACAGCTGATTGGGAGGTGCGGGGAGGCGCTAATCGGTGGGACTGCTGGTGGGTGGGAGGCGCTGGGAGCGGGGTGGGGGAGCTGATGGGGGGCTGCCGGTGGGTGGGAGGCGCTGGGAGTGGGGTGGGGGAGCTGATGAGGGGCTGATGTGGCTCTTTGGCAATGCACATTGGTAAATTCTGGCTCCTTCTCAGGCTCAGGTGGCTACCCTGGTGTATATACACACAAGAAATGTGGTTGAGTTAGTTATAGAAAATGAAATTTTAAATGTCCTGAGTTTGGTATGATTAAAACCATTGTGAAAATTGGCTTTTTAAATTAAAAAAATAAGTAAGCAAGGGGTAAAAAAAAAAAAAAAAAGTTCCAACAGAGAAAGAACGAAAGAAAATGAATGGGATAAAGAAAGGGAGAACAGAAGAAATGAGCACGTAATCATAAAATGATAATGGGTAAAAATTTTGACATAAGTGGACTGATTCTTTATACCATCAGTTTTACACTGGTTTGACTCTACAGCATGGAGTGAATATTACTCCCAGTTTACACTAGTATAAGTCAATTGAGAACTGGGGCCATAATACTTACATTAAGTAAGTCACATTTGTGACTAAAACAAAAATTGAGATTTCTGTAATAATTGTTGCAGTTCAAAAAATAAAGACCAGTGCACTTCAAAATGTTTGTTTACTGATTTAACAGGTCTAGCTCCAGAGCTGCTACACTATGTAATTTGAAATTCTGCCGTGGAAGACCAAGATTGGGATTTTCCAATGCTCCTACATGACTTGCAGGAGCACCAGTCCAACTGAAAGTCAATGGAACTTGTGCTCCTAAATCCTCTAGCTACTTTTGAAAATCCCAACCTAAGTAACCTGATTGTATCTGGGGAACTCCATGGGTGGTTTACAAAGGGGATGGAATTCATCTCCCATCTCAGAAAGAGGCTCTGGGCATTAATTCAGCCCCCTTGGAAGATTTCTGGGCCACTACACACACACACACAATCACAGATCCAGTATTCCTAGTCCTTGAATACCTTATATACTAGCCTACTGTGACATCTACAATCTCTGGCTGTACAAGGTTCACGTGGTCTAGGGGGGCCTTCAATAGCCTCCATACCAAGGATGAATTTCAGGCAGTTCAGCACATTGGTGCTCTTTATACCAGGGTATCTACATTCTACCCCTGCAGGGTCATCATCTGGGAGATCAAGGAGATCTGTAGAAGCAAAACCATGAACTTCAAGGAACTTGAGAGACTTGCCCCCTCCCCCCCACACCATTACATAGAGAATAGATGGGGACAGAATAGTTGAAGCTGATCTTTAGGGTAACTGGGATCTGGTTTGCAAAAATGTATACTACATATGTTCTCTTCCATACTTTTCATTAACTCTTTCCCCACCCCCAAGCCTTCTCCTTTTGAAGATTGCTTTGAAAACGTAAGTCTATTTAAAATTTTAAATCAATCAGTAGGGCTGAGAGCTATCACAGCTTTTCCCTAGAGATCACTGGTTATCCGTGCCAGTGCTGGCCTTTCGGGTTTGTGAGGCCACTCAAACACCACGGTGTACCTTAACTACCTAAGCGGCATCTCTCATTACTGGCAAAAGGTACAGGATTGAAATCATGCAGTAATGTCAAGCTCTCATACCAAATATAGCTGAAGATACTACTTCAGAACTCCAAACTGGGGGTAGGGATTATACATACTACATTGAGAAATTAATACACAAAAATCCAATTTTAGGAAAAGAGAGAACATTTTGGATGGATCTGTCCACTTAAAAAACCCTACCCAGCTGGTTTGAAGATGCAATTTCAAGGATCTTGAACACCTTCAAGCCACCCATCCAGAGTAGACCGTTGTATTAAAAACAATCCTGAGACTACATGGACATTGTCAAAGACTTCATTTTGCGTTTGCCTACCATTCTTCGTATGTGACAGGGTGCGGTCTGTCTTCTTAAGGCACTATTCAGATTTGCTTTTGTTTTCCTTAAGGATTCAGGTCACTCTCCTGTTCGGAGTTTCCTTGTTCAGTGTGGCATTGGTGTGAGTGAAATGGATTGGAATGAAGTGCGACAGGTGCAGCATCTTTCGTTTCTTCTCAGAGAGCCAACAAAAGTCAAATAGGCAAATGCATACACCTATGGACAAGTTATACTGATAATTACTAATGATTTGGAGAGATCAATGCAACACGTTAATAACTGAGAATCTGGAACATGGGAAACTATTTTTAAAAGGCCAGAATCCTCAATAGAATAGAGGCTTCCAGAAAGCACTGGTCTAGATTTGGCTAGTAAGCCAACAGTTTAAACTGGTACTGATAAATAAACTGGGGTTGTGTATTTTGTTTTGTCCTTTTCCCCAAGATGAGGATGACATGAAATTCTCCACCCACTTCCAGAATACCAGGGGGGTTTTGTTTGTATTTTAAGGAAAGAACAAACCAACTGAGCCACTCTCACCGTGCTATTACCTTAATGATATTCTTTTAATAGTTTTGTCCCCCACCTCTTTTGACAACATGGGAGCAAGAGGGAACCAATAGTTCTAAGGAAGCTAAAAGTTAACATGGCTTTCTCTCTCTCCTTATTGGTGACCCAGAATCACCAATGACAACACCACAGCTTTGAGTAGATGGCTTAAAACCTAAAACTGCACAATACCTTAATTAGAAACAGTTAATTTAAAGGCAGATCTAAAGTCTCAAAGTCCCTGATATCTAGAGCACACACCATTTAATATTTTTAAAAAAACACAGAACAAATAGAGGACAAGAGAGAATTTACCTAGTTTTAGAAAAAACTTGGCCCAAACATCTAAAAGCCCGCAGGAAAAACAAAACTATCGTGAGTTGCTAAAATATATTGAAATACTTGGAGACGTGTATGTAGGACTAAATTAAAAAATGCATCCTTAGTGAATAAGATTCTTAATTTGTTTACTTTTTGCTTAAAACATTTTGTTTGTTCAAAGAGTAAGAGAAAATTACTTTGTTTTGAGAAAAAATAATTAACAAAAGAATTATAAAAGCAAGATAGAAGCCTTATAAAAAACGACAGTCAGGCCTAATCCTGCAATAAACTCAGTGCAAACAGTTCCGTGTATCCATGGGCTAGTGGATTCAATGGGACTCTATGTGGGGACAGTGATTTGCCCACAAGAACTTGGTTGAGGGTGTGGTGCCTTACTTACAAGAACTGTCAGAGCTCATTACTACAGGAAATTACACCTGCCTCATCTAAAAGAAATGCCAGGGAAGCAACTCAGCCACAGGTGTGCCAGCTGTTCCTTATATAGAAACTAACTCCAGAAGTTACACAGTACATTTTCTTTACAGTGTTTCATTAGTGAGGAAATGACAGGTTGGCTGAGCAACTTCACTTGTAAATCACACACTATCAAGGACATTACTGAAAGTCACAATCAATGAACTTACTCCTGTGAGAGGCTGACCACCCTCAACCCTTTGACTTCAATAGAATATTAAAGAACCTAGAACCTTGCAGGAGACAGCCCTGTATTAAGGACCAATAAAAGAACTGTTGGACCACCTACTAAATGATGCAATTCATAGTAGAAACAAAGTAATTCTCACCTGTATTAAGGGCCAATAAAAGAACAGTTGGACCACCTACTAAATGATGCAATTCATAATAGAAATAAATAAAAATACTAAGTTGTTCTCACCTACGTATTTGTCATCCCATTATTACTTTTACTGTGCCCAAGAGCATGTTAGAGGCTTTACAGAACACAGAGAAAGACAAGTCCTTCCTCTGGAAATCTTACAATCTTGAAGGGTAATAAACACAAAGGAGTGAAAGTAAGACATGATTAGATTTGCAACATCAAACAACTTTAACGGCTACGTATGCTTTTTAATAGTCCTGGGCTATTTTGGGTTTGTTTTTATATATAGCCCATATTTCAATCACTAATTCTTGGCAGATCAGCTCACTTTTTGTAAGCAATGCTGCAGAAGTTTGTTTTCAAAAGGGATTTAAAAAAGGTAAAAAATTGAGGCCCATGAATAGATTCCAGCAAAGCATTTCCACCTGGCTTGGAATCATAGCCAGCCAATCAGACAGGCAAGTCATTCTTCTACTTATTACCCAGAACCAAAATATAAATGCTTCTAAACTTGGCAGGATAAAAAACGATTTACTGGAGCTAAATATTTCATGCAAAAAACTACTGCAAAAATCAAACCATGAAAACTTCACACATCAGGTTTTATTTTACATTACAAAATGACTACATTTTCACACAAACCATGACTCTAAGAAACCTACTGAGAGTTTTACAGACTGCCAGGGCAGTAGTCAACATTTTACAAAAGATTCCTTGCAAGAGGGAGGACAGGGATTTTACAATAAAAGATCACCACAAGCAGCTGAGAAGCTTAGTTGTCAAGACCACTGCTAGTTCAGTCTTTAAAGTGTATTTACAAGGCACACACTAACAATAATTCTGTTTGCTAAAGTATCTTCTTAAAAATAGACTCTTTGGCCAAATATTTGAATTAAGCGAAACTAGTAGCAGTTGCGGATAAGGTGCTTTTACTTTTGAATACAGTTTTTTTTTTTTTTTTTAAATAAAGACTAAATATCAGTGCTGATTGCATTCATTTCTTTGGGATTTTTTCTTTTCCATAAATTTCCAGTTATAATCCCTATGAAAAGTAGAAGTCCGATTGTGCGGTTAGAGGTAAACTTCTTCCAACAGTCTTCAGGTTTGTGTATGTCCAAAGTGTAAATCTGTGGAAGTACAGTATAATGTTCTGTTATTATCTATAGTACCACAAGCATGCCAGACACTTCAGAGAAGAGACAGGTCCCTACCTCAAGGGACTCACAACGAGCTCCACACAGGCTCACTTCCGTGCCTGCACTGGATTAGATACAGACACAGAGGTCTGCCTAAATGTGCTTGACAAATGGATGAAGATATACCAGAAAGGTACAGAGAATGAGTAACATGTATGGATTCTAAGGACCAGATTTTTAAAGGTATTTAAGCACCAAAAGATACAGACAACAGATGCATAGTGTATTATCTGTACCTTAAAAAATCTGTCTCAAAGCTTCAATACAAACACACACGAGAGTTCACAGGAAAGGGGTTCTCAAATTGTCATCCACAGAAAACTCACAGGAGACCTGCAATAGCAGCTGGAAATAAGAATTAGCCAGCCTAGCTGCCTCCACTGGGGGCCACTGCTACTTAAAATGAGCTGCAGTGGGATGTTCAGGGTACAAAACAGGATGACGACCAAGCAACAGAGAAGCAAGTGCAAGATGGGGGCATGTGGGAAAAGAGACGAGAGGGGATTAAATGAATAGCAAAAGATGACTGCAATTAACTTTCTGAAAAAGGTCATAACAGCTACCAAACTAAAGACAGTTGAATACCTAATTACCTTCCGAATATCACTTGTGTATGCACTTGCATGGGCACAGGGATGAATGATCGGTTACGTTGTTCTTGATAACTGTTCTATACTCCCCTCCCCAGAGTCTTGTGTTTTCATTCTCAAATATCCAAGCCTACCTGGTCTGGAGAACAGAAGTTCTCATGCTGTGCCGACTCCCATGTAAGGGAATTCTGGCCATTCAATATTTGCACGATAAGAAAGAGGGAATTTAGTGCTCATGAAAGATGCCAGGCCAGCAGTCAGAGAGAATGAAATCTATCCATAGAGGACAGCACCTGTATCAGATGTGCGAGCTTCCCCAGATCACCCCAATGCACCTCACAACCCTGATGTGGGAGAGATCATAGATCAGACTCCATGCCAATTATATTCTTAACTACTAACAAGGCTGCAAGCTGGGATATGGACACTTCTCTATTACCAGGAACTACCTCTACACTTCTACTACCTCCAGTCTACTACTGAGACCACCGGTTCATTTTCTGCAGACTACTTACCATCACTACAAACTAGGTCTGGATATGAACGGATGATTGAATTTAAAAATCAGAAATGTGAGTATATAAAAGTGAGTCCTAGCTGCTCATTCTATTGATTAAAGTAAGTTGGATTTTTACTACATTTTACTCAGATCACTAAAACCAATATAGGTATAAGACAGTGAACTGGATTGTTTCCTGGCACTTACACAGAATTGTTAACTAAATGACAATTGTAGGATATTGGCAGTTGGTGATAAAGTACGAGACAAAGGGAACCCAGACTGCCTTTCAGATCCCAGACTGAGTTTGCAGGGCTTGCAGTTAGAAAATATGTATTCATTTGTAAGCGGTGCCAATTTCACTGAGAGACAAAACCAATGTCATTTTTCCATTGCTGTTTTTCAGAGCATAACCCCACTTAAAGATTCTGCATCCATTGCCAAGCCACTGGGCCATTTAGCCCCCACCCCATTAACCTTTATACACCTTTTAATTTACGCGAATAATCCTAATGTATAGTAGAACCTCAGAGTAACCAACACCAGAGTTACAAACTGACCACTCAACCACGCACCTCATTTGGAACCAGAAGTACACAATCAGGCAGCAGCAGAGGAAAAGAAAAAAGCAAATATAGTACAGTATTAAATGCAAACTACTAAAAAAATAAAGGGGAAGCTGCATTTTTTTTCTGCATAAAAGTTTCAAAGCTGTATTAAGTCAATGTTCAGTTGTAAACTTTTGAAAGAACAACCATAACATTTTGTTCAAAGTTACAAACATTTCAGAGTAACAAACAACCTCCATTCCCGAGGTGTTTGAAACTCTGAGGTTCTACCCTATTATGTACCTATTGTACTCTAAGTTATGCATCCAAATGCCATGGTGGTGGCTACAATAAACACATTAGGAGATGAGAAAAGGCTGCTGTGTGCTTAGGTGTATAAAGACAGACCTGCCTGCAGCTATTATTGAAAAGCCTTCTTTTTGCTGCAGCAGTTTGAGACAAGATGGCTGAATATTTTACGTAAACTGATACAGGATTTGTAATCTAGAGCTTCCACTTAGAAAAGAAGTACAAAAATCACATCAAACCTGATGAGCTAAGTGAGCACCGATGGCAGCCACAGCTGTGTAATAGAGGAAAGTCTGATCACAGTTTATTCCTACCACACTCAGACCCGCGAGCATTGCGACACTGAAGCCACTGAGCCACTGCTTTGTGTTTTCATTGAACCGTAGTGCTGTTGATTTCACACCAATGACCATGTCATCTCTTTTATCCTAGAATAAAGAACGTTATTAAAAAAACATAATACCCCTAGCAATTCACAAGTTGAGAAGTCGCGGGTGGGGAAAGTAGTTTTAGGGATGTAATAGAAAAGGCTTTGCCTTAAGGCCAAGGTTTTTAAGAACAGGTGTCTAATGTTAGGCTCCTAAATCCATTTTTAGGCACTGAAATAAGCAGCCTGGTTCTCAAAACTGCTGAGTACTTGACTGCTGCTATTGACTGTGACATACCTAGGTATACACGGCACTTTAACAGTAAGGGCTCTACTCAGAGACGTTCATAAACTAATTTACACAGATAGTACAGTGAGCAGAAAAACATGCGATAATAGGGTAATTAGAGGGGTGAAAACTAGTGGATACGAGAAAAATCTCTTAAAAGCATTTCTAGGTTTTAAATCTTCTGATTGCAGTGGGAAGATTAGTAGTGCTATGCAAGTCCAAAGTAGTGAGTTTTATACATAAATACACACATAACTAACAATGAGGAAGTTAACAGTTAATGTTATTACTTCACCTGATGTGCATAGATGGTGTCATATATCAACGTCCACATAACTCCAGAGAAGTACAGAGGCAAACACACCGACCAATCACATGAACCTTTGATGGCAGACCACCCAAGTAAGGCTCCCCAATTAAATGTAAGTCCTGTAAGTAACAGAAATAAGAAAAATATACAGAATTATAGGCTTCTAAAAATGTAAGAGTCAGGAACAATCTAAATTATATTTTTTAATCAACATTTGACACTCAAGCATCTGTGTGGTTTTTTGATTTTTAATCCCTACACACTTACAGGATGGGGGACTCTCTCCTGGGAAGCAGGGACTCTGAAAAAGATTTGGGAGTTGTGGGGATAGTCAGCTGAACATGAGCTCCCAGTGCAACACTGTGGCCCAAAGGTCTAGTGTAATCTCTGGATGCATAAACAGGGGAAATTTGAACAGGACTGGGGTGGTTATTTTACCTTTGTATTTGGCTCTGGTGCGACCACTGCTAGAGTATTGTGTCCAGTTGTGGTGCCCGGAATTCATAAAGGATGTTGATAAATTGGAGAAGGGGTTCAAAGAAGAGCCACAAGAATGATTAAAGGATTAGAAAACATGCCTTACAGTGACAAGCTAAATAGATTGAGCTCCTTGAGCCTAACAGAGAGAAGGGGCAACTTGCTTACAGTCTAGAGTAGTGGTTCTTAACCTGGGGTGCGAGATGCCCTTTCTGGGGGTTTGAGACATGCCAGATTTTTTTAGAAGGTAAATCAAAAACACAAATTAAGCACAGGCATGTAAGTATAACTACTTTGTTTCATCAACCCTATATATTTATTAACATTATACATTTTTAAACGATTACTGTAATATACAAACAAAAAATATATCTAGGTTTAAAGAACTGACCTACTTCAATGATTTTTGATAAGGGGTGCGAGAACATATTTTGAGAACCAAAGGGGTGCAGGCTGCAGTAAAGGTTAAGAACCACTGGTTTAGAGACATACGGTAATATCTTTTATTGGACCAACTTCTGTTGGTGAGAGAGACAAGCTTCCTAGCTTACAAAGAGCTCTTCTTCACGTCTGGGAAACTTACTCAGAGCATCACAACTAAACATCACACATGGTCTCTCCCACTAACAAAAGCTGCTCCAGTAAAAGCCATCACCACACCCACCTTGTCTGTCTAATCTCCTGGGACCAACACAGCTATAACAACATTGATTACAGTTTATAAGTACCCATGTGGGGAACAAGTTTTTGATAATAGGCTCTTCAATCTATCAGAGAAAGGTATAACTATTCAATGGCTGGAAGCTGATGCTAGACAAATTCAGACTGGAAATAATAGCGTAAATTTGTAACGGGTCATGGTGGATTTAACCAATCAAGGGTCATGGTGGATTCTCCCTCACTGGCAATTTTTAAATCAAGATTGGATATTTTTCCAGAAGACAGAATCTATGAACCCAGAAACACTGAACTCACACATGCGGAAGGGGGAAAAGGGAGGATTATTCTATTATTTTCTCATGGGAAAAGAAAGGAGTTATGAGAGAAAACAGGAGTGCTGATCATAGTAGGAAACACCACTCGTCTCCCTTCTACTAATCCCTGGGTTTCTATGCTCTTCTTGCACCTGCAGCAGAAGGAAAGTGACTAACATTCCAGTCTCTGAAATATTTGGTGAGAATGCACTGACGAGGATGCTGGCTAACTGCTACTATTAGGGACAGTAACAGAGAAACCATATGGTATCTGAAGAGCAGACAGCTGAGTTGTTATCAGTAAATTGCACTGTGGAATGTTTTATTTTTTTACTTTTTTTTTTTCTTCTTTTTTAAAATTTCAAAAGAGCGGAGTGTTCAAACAAGAAGAAAAACAAGCCCAATAATATATCACATTGGGTTTGTAACATTTAGATACGAATTTTCAATTGAGTAGCAATAAATCTAAGTACCTATATATTACACAGTATAAATAGCAACACATTCTTTCTCTAAATTATATTTGATTTAACTAACAGACACACACACCCATCTTGCAAACAGCTGTACATGTGACTAGTCCTAATAAAGTCAGCAGAGATACCCATATATCTCAAGTTAAGCGTGTTCTTAAATGTCGGGCCTTAAGCTTAATATTTGTTAGCTCTAGAGAACTGTTAAAGAAGAAAAATGGAAGGAGAACAGAGCAGACACAACAGTGGTGGTTACTAAAGGTGGTAGATATTAAAAGCGGTTACTAAAAGTGGAAAAAATATGTGAAACAAAATTTAAAGGTAGGATACCAAACTGGGTCAAGCTGGAATACAGTGCAATGCATCTGTTTACCCCAGTTAATTTAAATGTTTAAGAGTGTAATACACGGTGAAATACATATTTAAGAAAGATTTCCAGAGGCTGGGAGAAAAATGTCCCACATCTCCCACTTGGTACTCAGGTGACAAACCGATTATTTCTCAACACCAGAGTGTGGGGAAAGGAGGAACTACATGAGGGAAAGAAACTTCATGTGTTTTACTATCTGTTTAAGAAATGTAGGACATACCAATGACCTTATTTGTAGTTTCAGGCAACTTCATTTGATATTGAAGTTCAACTATTAAGATTTTGCCAGAACACTAAAAAAAAAAAAAAAAAAAATTACATCTGAAAGAAGGGAAACTAGCAATTCTGAAGCTCACCCAAAACCAACTGTGGCCAATACGTGATTCTCTTCATCAGGGGATAAGTGATCACAAGAGACAGAGAGGCTGCTCCTAGGGCAATACTGTAATGAAAGAAGTTCATTGTGAGACTTTATATGGTTTACTTTAAATAATTCTATTGTACTCTCATTATTCCCTAGTCTAAGAAACAATACTGTAGTATCAGAGGAATGATGCTGTAGTTAAGACTGAAAGTATTACTTCGTTCTAAAATCATGGATTTGGTTGCTGTCTCAAAAAACTGCCTTGTCTGTTGAAATTCATCATGCTTAGCTTTCACCTGGTAGCGAAATAGTACAAGAATAAAAGATCACACATACATTACCTATAGTAATTTAGACACAGAAGGACACACAAAGCCAAGCTAAGCTGTCCCCCAAGAAAAACGAAGGACTGAAAAGTTGAGATATCTCCAACAGCTATTGGTCGACTTGCTGTTCTTAAAACCTAAAGAAAGAATAGTTTCAATACTAAATCCAATATACTGAGTTAAAATACACATTATAGGCAAAACTCATATCTTAATGCAAAGTAAGGTGGGAAAATTAAGCCCACGAGTCAGGGAATTCAAAAGTTAAGGTTCCTACACCAATATTACCTCTACCACATTTCACATCCTGTATATGGTACATATTTATGAATAAACATTAACACCTTCTACTAAAATATGGAGCATTTTAAAAATGAAAGTAGGATTATGTGTAATGAGGATGAATTAGAGCTACTATAAAAAGTTTAGATTTGAATTTTATTATTTGTGTGCTCAGTGCAATATTGAGAAATTAACTTTTTGCACTGAATATCCCTATTTTAAGAGCAATTTTGTTCAAACATTCTAAGAGTTTCTGTACTAAGATGTCTGTAATAGGGGGGAAGATTCTAGGATTATAGAGTTACAGGCAACAGAGGGTCCTGTCTCCTTCTGTTGACTCATCCTGCATTAAATGCTTGAACCCTACATAAGGATGCTGTATAGTCATTCCTGATCATACTAGCAGATAGATTCAATTAGCTCCAAGCAGGATATAGAAGGCAAAGGAACCTCTTTCAGGGGCACAGAGGTCAGCAGGGAAAACTCTACGAGCAAACAAGTTTGGGAAGAAGGTTTAGGCTGAATTTACATTATCTAAATTAATAAAACCAAACCCAGGGAAGGAGTAAGTTTTACTTTATACAGAACAGTGGTACTCTCAGAGCCAGGTAAGAATGCCACCTGCTTACAGCGCTCTAAAAATTTATCAAAAGTGTTGTTTGTGCACACTTTAACAATACTAAGCTATTTTCCTTTAAGTTTGGCTCAATTTTCCTCTCTCAGTTAAGACTACAATTATGCCAAGTTAGAAGTTTATAGATCTGCAGTTTAAGTGAGACACAATAAAAAATATTTTTGGGGCCATAGAAAGTATCATCTTCACCTTCGTGCAACTCAAAAATGGCTGCACTAATTTAACTCTAACATTCAAGAAAAATTCAGCTGTGGGTAAGACCAAGCAAGGGATGTTTTAGTCAGGAAATCAACAAAATTACCACTTACTAGACATACCACCACTAACACACCTCCAACCCACTCTCACAGATAGTTGTCTGAGGTTTTATTTGTAAAATAATTTTCTATATGAATTTTAAACTCCTTACTGTTACATTCTTGTCAATTTCATTTAAGTTCATTATTTTGTTGTATTTAGGCCCCAATTATGCAAGTGACTCCATAAGGGAAGCAGCTTTTATTACCACACACCAGGAACACAACAGTGTCAAATTATCCAATCTTCTCCTAGGGCTTGTCTACACTGGCACTTTACAACGCTGCAACTTTCTCCCTCAGGAGTGTGAAAAAACACCCCCCTGAGCACTGCAAGTTTCAGTGCGATAGTGTAGACAGTGCAACAGTGCTGGTAGCTACTCCCCTCGCGGAGGTGGGTTTTTTAGAGTGCTGGGAGACCTCTCCCCCAGCACTATGCCATGACTATACAAGCCACGTTACAGCACTGTTGCAGCAGCGCTTTAATGTTGCCAGTGAAGACGTGCCCTTAGTGTAAAATTACTGAGGAAACTGCAAGTTGACATTACAAAAAGCTCATTCTTATCTGGGGTACATCACTATAGCCGCCAGTTTAATTAAGAAAGAGAGTATAAAATTCACCTTTGGCAAAAATTTATACCTGAAAAGTTACAAAATGCAGCTAAAGAAATCCCTGATAATTCTTGGATAGATAACGGCTAACAAGGTTAAAAGAAGCATGTCAGTTGGTTTTGCTCAGTTTTTAGGAAAAATATTACAAGAAGTGGATGTATGTTGATTAAGCTCTGATTACATTGCAACTATCTGATGTACCTTATCCTACATACAAATTATCTAGAAAACAAAGAACCACTACTGCATCACTACTTGTGGCTCTCTGTTATGCAAAAAAAGAAAGCACTTTTACCATTCAAAGATGAATGGTAAACATCATATTACTTAGTATATGCCTTCTAAACCAGGAGGGGGGGGGGGGGGAGAAAAAAGAGATTACTTGGAAGTAGTCTTCATTAGACAAGCCAGTATTTCTACCAGACAAACAACCAGTTTGTCTTGGTGAAAGACAGAAGAGGGCTTACTTCAATAAAAGGCCAGCAATTTACTTACTCATCAAACATTAAGAGGAGCCTGTCTGTTCTTTTCAAGTCCATGGGGCTTTCTCTACCTTTTTGTCATAGTCCCGATCCCACATGTCATTAATTGTACAGCCTGCTCCACGCATCAGGACCGCTCCAGTACCAAAGAGTGACAGCATATACCAGTCTGGAAAACAGCCCGGCTCTGCTGCCAAGCCTATACTCCATGTGCATGGCAAATACAACAGCCACGTTCCTAAAAAAGTGAATTTGAAAGAGATTAGAAAAAGAGAAATTATAAATGGAATTACTCTTTAGCATGCCATAAAAGGTAAATAAGTGTTGAATTACTAATTAAAAACTTCTAAAACTGCAACACCAAAGCTGAGAGACAGCTAAGATGGTTATCTGTGCAAGGTGCTGCAGTTCCACAATTTGATTCTGCTCCTTTACTTTTCTTTTTCTTCTTCTTCTTGATTGAAATGTTGAATATAAAGACACTTTGTCTATTTTCCCAATAAAAACAGAAAACTGAACCATGGAGGGAATGCAATGTTTGAACAGTAGCTATAAAATCAGCCATTACAGAGAACATAAGATGCGACACATATTAGTTTGGTAAGCCACCTTGTTCCACATCTCTATCCAAACCAAATATTTAACTATCTTTACAATTATTCACATGGACATATTCCAAAATGGATTTGTCTCCTGAGTTTATATGAATTGTCTAGCCAATCTGTAAAATATTTTATGTTCCAAATGTCATATGACCTGCTGACTAATTGACTGTCTAACCTGAATAAGCAAATTGCAATCCTTCTATCAAGAATAGAGAATACTGGATTTCTGTCTTATTACAACAATCTATAAAACAACCCCTCTCCCCCTGCTGCCATCCATCCCTCTTTCTTTCCCCCTATGACTGGAGGGGTGTTAACGGGCCATTTCACCTTAAAAGGTCCCTTGAAATGTGTGTTAACGTCTTAGGCTATGTCTACACTACGGACCTTACAGCGACACAGCTGTACGGTCTCCCGTGTAGCCATTCTCCTGCCAGCAAAATTAAGTCACCCCTAACAAGCTGCAGTAGCTATGTTGGCAGGAGAGTGTCTCCCGCTGACATAGCGCTGTTCACACCAGCGCTTTTGTTGGTGAAACTTGTGTCTATCAGGGGTGTTTTTTCACACCCCTGACTGACACAAGTGCTAATGTAGACATAGCCTTAGACTAAACTTGTGAGCAAGTTTCCCAGACCTGAAGAAGAGCTCTGTGTAAGGGCAGGTCTACATTACAGACCTATATTGGTATAACTACATTGCTCAGATGTGTGAAAAATCCACCTAATCACCCGTGTAGATAGCAGTATGTCAACAAGAGAGCTTCTCCCATCAACATAGCTACCACCTCTTGGGGAGGTGGATTAACTACCCCGACGGGAGAGGCTTCCACATGACAATCATAGACATAAAATATCCCAGGGCACTATATACAAGTGTAGAGATTTGCCTTACTGTCCTTGATAAACATTTTCCTCTCCCATAATTGTACAGTGCTGCTGGGCACCAAACTGTCAGCACCTGATCCTTTGAGTGGTGCTGTACTAGATCACCTGTAAACCAGTTAATCAATCCTTTTGTCCTGAATGATCCTTAAGTGTTTTATATTACTAGACTTCTGTTGCGTGAAGTATTATTATCACATGATTTTTGTAAAACAAACACTGGAATTTCTTTTGTAAAGAAAAGTGCTCTCAAACTCAAAAGGCAGTTTGTACTTAATGTCTTTTTTGTGGCTCTTTTGTGGCTCAAACAACAAGGAGTTTTAGATTGTGGTAGGATGAATGATGGTTTTGAAAGTTGTACACTAAAAAAATGATCAGGGACTGTACAGACTAGACACAGGTATTACTGTAGATAGTTTAACTTTGCGGCAACAGTCTCTTGGCAGGTGAATGCTGCTGAAATCCATTTTTATAGCAACCCTTCGCATTTCTATGACCTCTCCCCCCTGAAGGCCCCAGTAATTGCAGCAGCCTTCATGGAGTTTATCCTCACAACATCCCCATGAGTCAGAGGCACATCACTCCCCAAGGAGAGGGAACCAGGGCCTGCTGTAGAACATAGGAACGGCCACATGGGTCAGACCAATTCTCCATCTAGCCCAACAGCCTGTGGCCCGATCATGGCCAACGCCAGGTGCTTCAGAGGGCATGAATGAGCAGCAGTCATCCACTGAGCCACCGGCGTTGTCCAGGGCCGGCTCCTGGCAATCGGGGGCTTGCCACAGCTGCGGACAGCGCTTGCGCCTGGCTGTTCAGCACCTTGGAGAGCCGGGCCCGCCGGCTAGCGCGGAGCAAGGGGCTGAACCCGGGGTCCCAGCCCGCACGCGGGGGCGGCTCTCTGCCCCGGCCCGGCCCGGCAGGCCCGACGGCGCCCGCCCAGGCCTCCAGCCCCGCAGCGACTCACCGATGGGCTTGTCCAGCCTCATGAGCCGCAGGTAGGGCTGCAGGGGGCCGGGGGCCGAGCTCACCAGCCCCGCCGCGGAGAAGCTCAGCGGCCGCCTCCCGCTCCCCGCAAGGCCCAGCGGCGATCCGGGGGCGCCGTGGGTCGGGACAGCGAGCGCGGCGGCGGGGCGGGCGCAGCCGGCTCGGAGGAGGCAGCGGGGCCCGGCGGCAGTTCCGGGGGCCCGGCAGAGCCGCGCTACCAGAGCCGCCATGCTGCCCACTTCCGGCGGCAGGGCGCGCGCAGCCTGATGACGTCAGGTGTCGAGGCGCTCCCTCTCGGCTTCCGTCCCGCCGTGAAGTTCTGCGCGTGCGCAGTCCTTTCCCTCGCTGCTGCCCGTGCCTCCCCCTCCCGAAGGGCGCGAAGAAGTCCAGTCACTTCGCCTCAGGCTCCTGAGCCACCCCCACGGCTACGGCGATGCCTCGCACCGTGGCCATGGCCCCCCGCACGTTGTGGGTGGCTCGCGCGGGCGGTGGGCGCAAAGCACTGGCCACGCGATGCCGCACCCCTCCCCCCGGCCCGCCCAGGCCGCCAGCTGTTCTCAGTGTCTCCTCCACAGTGCTGGGGGAAAGCCCGTAGAGCCCCCAGCCCCGGCCCGGCCTACAGGAAATACCCGCCTTCAACAACGCGTGGGGACTTCGCACCTTCTGATGGCGGAGCCCTCGGCCCCTTGGCCATCTTCTCCCCACACCCCTCCAAGCCAGGACCTGGCGTGTGCCCCGAGAGCTGGGGTGCCTGCGCGTTGCCTGGATTGCAAGAGCTGGCCCTGTACGGGGATCCCCGGCAATCAGTAACAGGGCAGTAAGGTCACCAGTGGGCAGCACTGAATTCCTGCTTCCTGTGGGGAAGCTGAACCTTTATCTCCCTGCTATGCACAATGCTGTGTGTTTCCTTCATCTCTGATCTGGATTTTCCCCTGCCATTGCCCTGAATTCTTGGGGTCTCATCCTATGAACTTCCAGGAGTGAAACCCTCTGTCGCTGGCAAAGCCTATGGCTGTGCCCACCACTCATTACCATTTCTCTAGGGCAGGACAACAAGCTTCTCTCAGTTCTTAAGCCACCCCTTCCTTCTGTTACAAGTTTGATTCCCAAAAGCCTCCTGGCTACCATTAATCTTTTCAAACCAACGGGCACTTCTTAACCATCTCCTTTCCTCTTACTAATTAGGGTCACCACCTCTGAGATGCAGAGAAACTGGCCACTGCCCTGCCTATCACCGGCCAGACCTCCTTTCCCGTCTCTGGCATTCATGAACACACACCAGCCCAATCTTCCTTTTCCCTTCTTAGGTGCCCACCCCCAGCCCATAAGCCCCTACATCCATGCCTTCCCAGGAGCCCCTGCCTCCCCCACCCTGGTCCCCACTGTTTCCTGCTGTGTAATAGCAAGCCTTGGGTCCATCTGTCCTGCTTCCCAATCCCATCTTTCTCACTTCCCAGTACCAGGAGGAGCAGGAGCCTCAGCCATCACGGTTTGGGCATACTGAGGGACCAGCACACAGAGCAGGACCTGGATGTGGCACTCCCAGCCATGTGATGTATGTGGTAGTTAGAAGTTTGCAGCACAGCCAGTTGTGCTGCTGCATGTGTGAATAGCTGACAGATGAGAGAGAAAAACCAAAACAAAAACATGGCAACCAGCAAGGCAATAGAAAAACCATCCAAGCTAGTCGGAAACTGGCTAGGTAGCAACCCTGTTACTAATATAACACATTACTTATGGAATAACAACTGCCAACACTTGGAAAGAACCTTCCACCTGAAGAACTAGAAGTACTTCACAAACAGTGAGTAAGGCTCACACCAACCTTGTTGGGTAATTATACATCATTATCATAGTTTATAGATGGGGAAATAGAAGCACAGATTAAGGCTGGGATTCACAATGGTACTTAGGTGTTGCAACACTGAGGGTCATGGTGCCTAGAAAGTCCCAGGAACAACACTGCAGTCCACCATGAAGACTTAGGTGCCTAAGCTCCTTATAGAATGAATAGGGAGAGGTAGGTGCCTAAGGATGCAATTCACAATAGCCAGCATGCTAGGTGGGGAGCTGCTAAACTAGCCAATGGGAGATGTCAACCTGAGTGGTGTTGGAGATAGATGGCTAAATCCTGGCTATAAAGAGGCATCTCCCTCTATTTAGCAAGCCACAAACAGGAAACAGCTGCCTGGAGTCAGGCAGGTTAGGCACCTCTTGTGGGATCAGCCTTGCTTCACACAAAACAGCCAGAGGAGGAGGTGGTAGTGCTCACCTTATTACTTTTAGCCCAGTGGTTGGAGTACTCACCTGGGATGTGGGAAACCCAGTTTCAAGTTCCCCCTCCGTGCCACTGGGGGAGAAAGGATTTGAATAGGCGTCTCCCGCCTCTCATAGGAGAGCTCTAACTGCTGAGCTGTGGGATATTATGATGTGGGGCTCCCTCAATCTCTCCTGCTGAAGGTGCTCCACTGTGGATTAAATAATGAAAGAGTGATTGGAGCAGATGGACTGGATTCAGGGTCTCCCCTCTTCCAGGTGGGTGCCCTACCCACGGAGTCATTCCCTCTCTCTCTGGCCTCTGACTATTCCACTGTTGTAAATACTTAAACAGTCATGTGGCCCAAGAGGCAGGGGAATGAATGACTGTAGCCCAGTGGGTAGTGCACCCACCTGGGGGTTTAGGTCATTTAATCTTAGAAACTTCTCTTGAAGTTTGAAACAAAGCAAAAAAAAAAAAAAAAAGGGTGGAGCAGGATATTGTGTACTCTTCTACAGCCCCAGAAAGCTGCTTGCCCCCAACCATTTGTGCCTAAAGCCCTTCACCAACCCCCCCCCATCCTTAAATAATTCCCCTCACCCAAGGTATATATTGGAAGATGAAGCTCTTTCTCTTCCCATCCCTAAGCAGATTTCACTAAGTTTTGCCTTCCTCACATCTCCATCAAGAGCAGTTGTTGTAGGCTGGCTTATTTTCTTATTAGGAGAAAATACAGAGATCCAAGGAGTGATCTCTCTAACAAAGTACAAACAGTTAAATTGGTATAAGGACTAAATCAGTGGAAAAACAAATTTAGGCCTAGTCTACACTAGAAAATTAGGTCAGCATAAGTGCGTCGTCACACAGGGGTGTGAAAAATCCACACCCCTGAGCAGCATAGTTAAACTGACCTAAGTCCCGGTGGAAACAGTGCTAGGTGAATGGACAAATTCTTCTGTTGACCTAGCTAACACCTCTCAAGGAGATGGATTACCTATGCCGATGGAGACCCCTCCTGTCAGCGTAGGTAGTGTCTACACTGAAGTGCTAACGTGCTTTAGCTTTATTTTTCTTGTAACCATTTCTGACTTTAATGCCTCATTACTTGTACTCACTTGAAATCCATCTCTTATAGTTAAATAAATCTGTTTTATTCTTTAATTAAAACTAATCCGGTGTTGTGAATTGTTTGGGTAACTTAATTTAAGGTAGCATTGTTGGGTACTTACCCTTTAGAGGGGGCAACGGAGCTAGTATATCTGGATTGTCCAGGAGAGGTCTGGACACTGCAAAACACATATTTAGGGGGGGGGGGGAGGAATTCAGGATGGGGAGTGCGTTGGGGTCACGTTGAAAATAGTAACCAACGCTGCTGGAAGATAGTGTGTGGCTGGTGCCTGCTGACAGGCTGCTGGGGTCAGAGCTGCTGGGCCAGCGCTGTGGCTTTACACAGCACTCAGGGTGCGACCTGTATACTGGCAAGCTGATTGTGAGCAACCCAAGTTGTAAGCTATAATTGTGAAGCACCCAAGGTTGTGTTGCAGGAGTGACTCAGCTCCTTACTGGTCTGGATTGCACCCCAGAATATCATATACGTTCCCCACTGCAGAGCTAGGGACATCAAACAGCGACAGATATTTTAACAACAAAACTTAGACTCCGTGTGTTTTAAAGTTTCTTCTAGCTAAAAAGAAAAGGCCATGAATATTTTTCAGGTCCTAAATTAGCCTGATGGTTTCTCTCTCTATTAATGACTTGACATTTTAATATTTTGATTTTAACTTTAGTTCATATTATTTTCCTCTGTAGGCCTGGACTTTAATTTCAGTCAGTTTCTATATCCACTGTAATATTTTCACATATTACAAATCTCTAAATTGCATTTTTTTTAAAAGTAATTCTAAAAATGGCGTGGGGGGTGGAGACAACGCTGCTGTTCATGATGTCTCAATTTCCACATAAGATAGACTCAGTCTACAAAAACAAAGGCTATTTCTTTCTAACTAAATGCAAACCCTGAAAATAGTCAAGCTGGGTTCTTTCCTTCATGCTCACCTCTGTCATGGAAGTTTCTGCAGGCCAAATTGTCTTCTGACATCTCTTCAACCCTGGTGTAGTCTTTGAATTTGCACAGGTGTAACTGATTGGAACTGTTCATCAAGGCATAATATCTCAGAGCTGTTGGCCCCAGCAGGACGAGAGGGAGTAAAAAGTAATACAAATGTACTTAAAGTCAGCAGATATGACTGTCTACACAGAAAGAGCTGCATTTTTGTTGTACAAAGTAGTGCTATTTTTACATTGTGTTTCAGATAGAACTTCTGAGACCACACCTAGTATATTGTGTTCAGTTCTGGGCTACTCAGCACCAGAAACACTTAAGCAAATTGCAGTGAGTTCAGCAAAGAGCAGTTAATTAGGGAACTGGAAAGATTGACTATAAGGAAAAGTTAGTTATAAGTGTTGACTAAGAGGGTGGACATGATAATTATCTATAATTGATATGAATAAAAAGTCAGTAAGAGGAAACCTTTAAGGGCAAGAAACAAAATAACCCAAAGGAACTTAAGAAAATGAAAATTTAGCTGAATATTAAGAAAAACTTCCTGACTCTGAGATCTGTTGGACTGTGGAATAGTCCCCCAAAGATTGAACAAAACATCAGAGTATACAATGTAGAGAACAATCATGTATTAACTGGAGGATGGACTAAATAACCTAATAGGTCTTTACCATCTCTAATTTCTATGAACTAATATTTAAGTTTACATCTACTTCCAATACATTTTCTCTTACAAAAAATCCATGCTTTTTGTGTGTGGATCTTTGTGCCTTTGCTGTTTATCTACCAACTCCCACCAAAGATAAAATCTCATTTCAACTTTTCTGCTAAGTACATTTGGCAACATAAATTAAAAATAATTGGATTTATAAATTAAAATGTAAAGAACTTTAAGTTCTTTAATTACAGTA